GCAAGGGTGTGATTTAGGAATGCTGGTCTGACTACTGCGGTCGCACAGAAGGACGAAAGGGCAACCAAACGGTTTTCATCAACTTTTATGAGTTACCAGATAGAATTCCTCATTCAGAGAGAATATAGGTTATATCATGTGAATATTTCTGATAATTCAAAGGGTATACAATTGCAATATGCTACTCGTCAACCGATGGAATGGGGAGAGCATTTCCATCATACATAGCCAGTTTTGCTCCGGCACTTAATAGGAGTTTAATGGGTTCTCGTCCGTGCCTGATTTCGTGAATTGCTACTCCAAGTGCCGTCCTACCATGCGAAACCAAATCCACCTCAATATCAGGGTGCTCCAGAAGTAACTTCATCACACCAAGGCGATAACATCCGACCGCAGACATTAATGCGGTGCTTCCATGTGATCCACATTCCCCACCCGAGCATGGCCCTGTTGTTGATATGTGGCATGCCGTCCGGTTGACACACACCGAATTTTGGGACAGCAATGCCTGTGTTACTTCTTCCTCTTCAGAAGCTACGGCTGCCATGAGAGGAGAGTACCCATTATCACGTGGAATATCGAAGTTGGTTCCATCTGGATGAGCCCATTCGATGATATCCACAAGTCCATACGATGCCACCACTTCAAGGCGGGTATCGACTTGAAATTCCCGTTCGGAAGAGCGTAGGGACCTCATAACAGATCCTTTGCTTTTGCTGTATACTGAATGCCAGTTGGCGCTCGTATCGTCAAGTATTCTTAGCCATTCCATATACACTGCACCATCTCGATCCCAGAAAAAATCTTTCACAAGAGTCCAAAGCTCCTTTGAAGACGATGTAGCCTCCACCCCGTGAGGGACATCCATCGCATGCTTGAGCCAGTAGGTCACTGCATAATTGAATGGCGATTCATTTAGTGGTATTTTCTTTTGGTCGCCTTCATTATCCATTCTCTTCCGAAAATCCTTGTGAGCTCGTAGTTTGTGATTGGTCGTTGTTCTGATACGGCTCAGACCCCCCGAGAAAATTTGTGTAACTATGTGAACGATTAGCCCTAGTCCGGTGCTATCAATGAAATTCCCTGACCACATCCCATTGTTATCAACGCATTGCCCTCTGCTTCATTCACCATACACGATGTTACCCTTTCATCGCTCCTTGCGAGTTCAGACAACTTATCCATGGGTTGAAGTAAGAACTCCTTTACCGTTCGGTGCGTAAACCGTAACTCGTCCTCACTCGTCACTTCCAGCAACGGTCCACATGCTGCTAGCATTTGCTTTGCGGTCGGCAACACGACTATATCCGGATCGAACGATTTATCTCCTTCGACCGTAACATACGCGTATTGCATCTCTGGAACTTTGAGTGGTCGGTTGACTAGCGTCACCCAAAGTAACAACTTTTGCCGTAGCTTGTGCTCCCATCCGCCCCCTCTAGATCCGAGTCGGCGCAGGATAAGCTCATACATGCCAGATATCCCCTTTGGCATCGCCTGGAGGCGCTTCGAGATAGGCTCAGGGGAGGGTTCGTTGAGCTCTTCTATGACGAGTGCTAATACGAGTTGTAAGGGTTCGCCACTGTCTTCAAGTAATTCATACATACCGGCGTATCGAAACATCCCTTGAGAGTTTTCGTAGATTGTCGCAATGATTTGACTTTCATGCCGGCGTAAACTTTCGTTGCCCGCCACCTGCTCATTGACGAACTTGCGAATGTCCTCATTGACTTCCATATCAATCGTAGATACATATGGCAGTGATGCGAATATGTCGTGTACGTTTGGTCGGCCCGTCAAGAGAAACCGCACATGAATCTCTTCGCCTAGACTTGGCATCGACATTAGATGTACAATTGAAGATGGATTCTTGGCCGGTTCTAGCAAGTGACGAACAACGCTTGAAGGTTCGGTGCATTCGTCAAGTGCGTCCAAGAGGATTATAACCGGCATCGGAAATCCTTGAAGCATTTCGAGAAGCGTGGCGCTCAATTGTCCGAGGTCCCTGGACTCGTTGAGCTTACTCGTGAAATAGGAGCTGGATTGTACGCGTAGCTTCAAAATACGCATCAATCTCTCCTTATCTATCTCGGAATTGATAAGCTGGGCAATAATGCTTGCGACCATTTCTAGCGGGGACATTGTCTGCAGGTCTCCGTCTCGAAAGAAGAAATATGTAGTTAACGAGTCCTCTTGACCTCGCAGTTCATCGATGAGACTCGTGGCTAGTACGGACTTTCCGGCCCCTTGCCTAGAACGTTAGCTTTTCGGTCTTGGTAAAACAAGGCGCTTACCGGGTATACCGACTACCCAGAGGTCCCGAGTTTCAGTACCATCTATCCATGCTTGATATCTTTGTGTTTTGAAGATCCATTCACAAGTTCCTTCGAGGCGACGAGGTTTGTGGAAGTCATATGCACGAGTAGGACTGATGGCACTCAGCCAATTCAGAGCCTTTTCGTCTGACATCTGGACGAAAAGCTCTTTCATTTCTCCTACAATAACCACCTTTTCCCGAATATCTACATCATAAATACCGTCAATGATTGCCCAATCTTCAGACTCGCACATATATTTCCTACCCTCATCCATAGGTGAGCTCTTTAATAAGGTATCTGTCATAGATCCTGATGTCGATGACAACGGTCAAGGCCGAATAAATAAATCCATGAAGCCTTTTTCGATAACGTTCCAACCTCATTT